ATATATATATATATATATATATATATATATATATATATATATATATATAAGCTTTGTTAAATAATTTAGACATATATATCATTTCGATTAGTTTTCGTTGTGATCCTTTCAAGTTCGAGGATTAATTTCTTGGTAGCCTTAAGCACAAGCAGTAAAAACGAACAGTTGAAATGTTTTGAATTTAAATATACATACTCGCAGACATCTTAAAACTCTGAAGACGATCTCAGATGAGATTGAAAGTAATTTGGAAAATAAAAAAAACTATTTGAAAGAAAATTTTGGTATTTTCTTAATCAATTTTTAAAATTGATTAAGAAACCTAGGTTACCTTGAAAGTAGTCCGCGATCGACATGACTTGTCGAAATTATTTAACCAAACCTGTTTGAATGAAAATATGCTGCCTACATATACACTATATATATATATATATATATATATATAAAATGAAGACGACACGACGTACTAAACAGTAACAGATTCATCTGCAGAGACTCGGCCTCGGTTGTAAGATGAGAAAGAAGCCTAATTCTGTTCTATTTCCTGCTCATTATTATCGTCAGTTTCAATTTCTCTTGAGCTATTCGATCGTTTGACGCGTTACGGACCAGAAAGAATCGCAAACCGTTGAGTTGAAAACCACTTCCCACACAGATACAAAGTCCCCTACAAGCATAGCCCGAAGGAGAAAACTGACAGAAGCGGTGAGAAAATTAATGTCTACAGACCAGCCCCAATTTTTTAAAAAGTTTCTTGTTTTTTCAAATTGTTTTTTAAAAAGGAAATCGATCGATATTTCATCTCCTGTAAGTTGTTGTCGAACCTTTTCCCTTTTTAATTTTTTTTTTTCGTATGTGTTTAGCTTATTTCGTAAGGCTAAGTTTCACCTGGATTTTTTAAAGCAGAACGACCTCGATTTCAAACAACTTTTGGATTGTGTTATGAACTCAGACAAAAATATAGAATGACCGGGTATGCTTGTTATTCATTTTCAAACTGGATAAAAAAAAATACTCACTAAATAAAATATACATATATATATATATATAATGCACACACAAACACACGTATTCTGGAAACATTCTCGATTCTATTTTGATTTTTGTTCAGCCAATCTAGTATCCTTAGCTTTTATTAAAATATTTAATAAAAGAAAAAGGCACATTGGAATGATTGTCATCTAATTCATCTTACAAGTTAATTCATTTGACTAGTGGCTCAGGTTTGCCTACGGATATTGGGTATCTCACACACATACATACGAACACAATCACTTATGCATATGCATGCATACACGCAAAAATAGAAGGTAAGTTTTTTTTTTTTATTTTAATTCTCTTTTATATAATAGTTTACCTGTGCCGTCAGAAATGGCGGTAAATAGTTTGCTTTTTACTTATAAACTATCAAAGACTCTTTGTGGCTCTGCACTTTCTTGTTTGTTTTCAATATTAAATGAAACAAATAATGTTCTCTTCATCATGGAATTTATTATTTGCATGTCATTAGAAAAGTCTTTGTATAGAGATGGGGCGACCCACCATCCTCCGAATGTGGTGGAGTCTTCTGAAAACAAAGAATGTTCTGCCTAATATATATATATATATATATATATATATATATATATATATATATATATATATATATATATATATATATATATATAAGAAAAAAAAAGATATTAGGATATGTTAAGTAGCTTTGGAATCTGATTCCACTGCTCTACATATAATCTATTATACAAAAATATTACTACCTTCTTATTGATAGGTCCTGAGAATTACGATAATTCAGATTAATTCGAAAAAAAGCCTGGATATTTTTTTTTAATTATTTTGTGCTCATAACATTATATATATATATATATATATATATATATATATATATGTATTTAATAAACTAGTTATATCCAAAGATTCGCTCAAAAATGACCATACTCAATGGAAAAATGCCCCAAACTTAACAAAACCAAATTTTATCGTCAAATTGTCAATGTTATTATTAAGAGAAAAAACTAAAAGATTTTTTGTGTCAAAATCTTTTCTAATTCCTTTTTAGAACCTTTGAAATGTTTGTTAAAAATTTTGTTTTTCTGTCGTTAACGTGCACCCGTAAATTAACACGTGAATTATGAGCGTCTTTTTGCGATGAAAAAGATATTCATTTGGAAATTCTTGCAAAAACAAAGATAATAATCGGTTTTTAATTAAACTTTTTTGAAATATTTCTTTAAAACTTCCTTACAATTTTTTTTTTAAATCCGTTAACCGGAACCCCCACCCCAAACACACTTATTTCATTTTAGGAAATTTTTCTAAAAATTCTTTTTTCGTTGTGCTTAACGCTTATAAGGACAAATCCTAAGAAAACATAAATCACCAAATATTGGGGCTCAAACAAGACCCCCCCCTCTTCCTGGGTTACAGAAAATTTGCTCTGAATCGTAAAATAACACATGTAATAAAACTCAGACATTAATTAGAAATTGCTTTTATGAATAAAATATATTATGGACACGACTCTCATAAGGAAATTTATTCCCGATGAATAATGAATTTTTACAACAATTGTTTGCATTTTTAAAAATGTTAATTAGAGTAATTTATAAACTTTAAATTTTTCAAAAATTATGTATTAATTTATAGAGATCAAGTGATATTGTTATTAAATTAATCTATTTTTACTAATCATAAATAGAATAACGTACAGCAATTCAGCGAACTCAGGTATTTTAAAAAGAAATTTTAATTTATTTTATGTCTGTATAAACGTATCAGTTCCTGCAAATACGGACCTCTATAGACGGCATTATCAGAAAATAAGAACGGTAATTGTGGTAAATTTAAAATTTGTTAGTAATTTTGTAATATTTTAGACTAAAAAGCGAAAGTACATAAAATTCAATAAAATACTAGAATGCTTAAAATATTAAAATTTTTAAAGATTACTTGGTAGTCAAAAAAAAAAAAAAAATATGCAAAAAGGCCTTTACGTTGTATTTGGCATGTAATTTCATGTTCATTATCTCCTTACATTAATTTGTCAAACATCAGGCAGTCGATGATATATGTGTCAACGCCTCATAAGAACACCCACCCCCGTGTTAAAAATGCTTTTCTGTGATATTTTAAAGTAAAAGTTGGTAAAATTTGTTTTAATTCAGATTAATTAAACTTTAAATCAGCTATTTTTTCTTGAGTAACGTTTCAGAAATATATATTTTAATTTTTAAAGAGTTTTTAATGAAGAGAATTATGTAGTGGACGTCAATATGGACGATTTAACTCATTTTACTGATAAATCAGGAAAAAAATATTTAAATTAGGTTTGAAATACCACAACGAATTATGCTGATTCGAAATATTAGATTTAATCTATTAGCTTGCTATGTATTTAGAGATGCTTGATAAAATACAAAGAATGTTATTGGTCCTGATCTGGCATCTCGGCTTCAGTCACATCCCCCACCACCGTAATGTAGCTTCCCTGTCTTTTTTCTATAAATATTTTCTTGCAATTTCGAACTGAACCCTTTATTTCGCTCCTCAAGGACACATGGCACAGTGGATAAAGGCGTTGATTAGATCCAGTGACAGGACCCAAAGAGTGTGAGTTCAATACCCGGTTAAGGCAGTGGAGAACTTTCAGAGGGGAATTAACAGGAGATAACTGATAACTGACATCCATTAAACACGGCACGTGGAACTAGAACAGTCTACCCCAGTGAGCGAAATATTTTCTTGTTATGATGGTGCCTAGACCTTATGGATTTAATCCCAGTATTAGATCGGTGGCAAGGTCTCATCATTTTACAGTTGAGATGGCGAGATATAGCCGTGAGTTCTATGCTAACAGTTTCCTCTCTCTCATTTTTCGCTTTTTCTTTTCCGGCGTCTTGCTTTCCGGCCAATTTTGATCTTCAAAAATTAAATGCAATGTCAATCGTTATCGTGTGTCTTTTTAATTCATGTTCTTTTATTGTTCGCTCCCCTTAGTAATGTTTTCTTTTTCTCATATTCTCATTTTCTGCCACACTCAGTAACCCCCCCCCCTGCGTCTTAGAGGCTTTATTGCCTTGTTTGGGGTGAAATGATTTTTAAAAAAATGTATGGTTTACACTGCGTCTCACAGTGTTAGACATTTCATGTATTGTCGATATGTAAAATGAATACCTGAACGACGTCAATATCTATCTGCGCAGTCAGGATGAAAACCGGTTTGTTCTGCGCAGCCACTTTGAGGTTTCGAATTAATAGAGACGTTAAGCATCTGAAATCCTGAGATGCATTGGTATAGAGAAATTTGCTTTCCAAAAGCTAATCTTCTCCTCTTGTTCTTGTAACGGCATTCACCCAAGGTGGGTTGAGCCGGCTCCAATATTGGAGTTTCATGGGAATTTGGAATTCTCAAGCGGTCCCCAAACCCGCATGTATAGCACATGAGATTTGATTATAGGGGTGAAGGTTTCGAGCAGGACCATCCACACTTTTTGAAGGGCCGATTACAGAGACCTGGTGCACCCCAAACGACTCTCCGAAGGTTTTGAATTAAGAGTTTTCCTTCTTCTAGACCAGTTGCCAGTCTGTCCTGCTATTTACCCATAGCTGGAGTGAGAAGAATAGGATTAGGTAAGTGAATCTAATGGATTCGACTGGAATTCGAACTCGGCTCTCCGATTCCTCAATCCAAGCCGCTATCCATTACTCCACCGTGCCTCCTAAAGCTTTCTTCCTTAGGTGTCATGCATGATGCACGTTTGGGCTGCCATCTTTCTTTTCGAATCATGCTTGATTTGACACACCTGCAGTGTGCTGCCGTTATTTTCTCCGGTAGGCTGGTTGCCAACCAAGGCTATAAGACCCAGTTTGTCCTGCTATTTAACCCATAGCTGGCGAGGGCGAAGAATTTGATTCACGCCTTTACGAAGGGTATTTGCGTGTAAGTGAATGTAACGAACCCGGGCCATTGCCTATTACAACCCGTTACACATCCAAACATAAGCACCTGGTATTCCCAAGCGGTCACCTAACTAGGTACTGACCAGTCTTGACGTTGCTTAACTTTAGTGATCAGGCGAGAACCGCTGTTTCAATATGACTGTCATAGTCAAAGCATTAAGTAACAGGAAAAGTTCGTTAAAAAATAGCGTTGAACTGTTATATAATATCGGTCCTCCCATATGACAGTGAGTGCTGGACAATCTCCTCACAGATAAGAGACTTGAAGCAACAGAAATGTGGTTCTACAGAAAGATACTGAGAATACCATAGACTGAACATGTTTTAGAGAAAATGCAAACGAAAAGAAACTTATAATTAGAATCAGTTGAAATTTTTAGGTCACATAATGAAGAAAGAAGGCTTGGAGAATTTGACACTCACAGCGAGTAACCTGCCTAATAATCTTGGTAAATGGATTACAGAACGGGGATTGGGAAGGATATCGAAAAGACAAAAGTTACGAAGAGCTATAAAGGATAGGAAGTTGTGGAGAGCCATGATCACCCACGCCCAGAAAAGATACGAGACAAAGAAGGATAAGAATGTTGATTTGACGGATAAAGATAACTTTTTAACAACTTCAGGGTTTGCAAATGGTAAAACAACGCTACAACAGTGGTGATATACCGGAAGATCACAGCAGATCTATTTTCATAGCACTGCCTAAGAAACCAGGCGCAAACGAACAATCAACCTAATGAGCCACGTAACAAAACTCATCATCCGTATTCTGAGGAAATAAAGCACGCAGTATAATCAGGCCAGAGATAGGACAAGAACAGTGCAGGTTCGTTAAAGACAGCGAAACAAGAAACGCGATATTCATGCTCAGAATGTTATCAGAAAGAGCAATACAAATGCAGAAGGACGTGTACCTATTTTTTATAGACTACGCAAAGGCGTTCGGCAAAGTAGGTGACAAAGATCCGTTGAAACTTCTCAGCAACGTTGATATATTTGGGAAAGATATTAGATTAATCAAAGATCTATACTGGCTGCAAACGGCCTGCTGCGGATAGTGAATAAGTTCAGCAGATATACAAAAATAGAAAGCGGCGTAAGGCAAGGATGTGTCTTCTCACCGGACTTATTCAACCTATACAGCGAGGCAGTTCCGAGAGAACTGGAAATCCTCCCAGGATTCATCATTGGCGGCCATAATCTTAACAACATAAGATACACAGATGACACAGTACTGATAGCAGGCACGGAAAAGAAATTACAAACCCACCTACAGAAGGTAGCGAATGAGAGAGAGAGAGAGAGAGAGAGAGAGAGAGGAAAGAACTAAACATAAATTACAAGAAGACAGAATGCATGGTCATCAGTAAAAAATGAGCCCGAAATATGATTTACAGGTTGGGGACACTAAAATCAAGCTAGTGTGGAAATTTAAATATCTGGGAAGTATTCTGACAGTGTAAGTGCGATGTGACACTATTTAGCTATGGTAATTGGCTAACTAATTAATCATAGAAATTAAAAACAGGAAAGACTTAAGGCGAGAAAGATAGACTGATCGACGTTAAAAAAAAAAGATTTTATTTTATTTACGAAGAAAGATACTTTTCGCACGAGACAGAAAATCCGTAAGAAAAAGCGAGATTTCTGTCAAAACTGATTAATGTCACGATAAGAGAATGACGCGCCAAGGGAAACAGAATTCAGAACGAAAAACAAAGCCAACCGACACATGCGGCCATAAAAAAAATTCGGCTTGAGACCACCACGGAGAATAGATATTAGTTATCTTTCAGAGATATCATTTAATTTTAATTCCTGGGTCCAACGGAGGGAGCCATCTGGTGTGTGTTAGAATTCTGGCATGAGGAAGAAAATCGTATTATTGCTTATTCAAACTGTTGACGGCAGGCACAGCGTCGTCGAAAATGGGCATTTGGTGATAAGAGGATTTTAAGGCATGAGAAAAATAAAGAATTTGATTCTCGTGTAAAATACGGACCTCCCAGCTAAAAGTTGACTTAGCAGAAGAAGCCAGGTGTCGGGTTTTGATGAGTCGGTAGAGAGACCCGACTAAGTGAATTTTGGGTATCCCCGAAAGAAAGATGTGATAAAAATTATTTGGCAATCTGGGATTTGTAAATCTTTTGACCGAGAGAGAGAGAGAAAAAAAAAGAATTTTGTAAACAAAATTATGGATAATAATTTCAAGAGGGCCAGTGTAGCCACACCCACACTGCCGAGAGATCATTGGTCAAGTGGTAGCATGGGTGATAGGCGGAGGTGAATGTATGAGAAAGACGGGGAAGTTGTTAACACCCACTAAGGGAATTGGTATGAGATACCAATGTGTGAGAGGAAGAGTCTAGGAGGATAACTCTCCTCCGATCTTCCCTCACGAACGAGGGAGAAACCCCCGAAATGGAAATTAATTAATCTTCCAAAAATGGGAAGTAATTCATTTTCCTGGCCTAAGAACAAAGAGAATTCTTGCTGGGAATCGAGAATTATCGGGAACCCAAGCCACGTCAGGCCCACGCACCGGGTTTTGGTCGGTATCCATATAAGCGAATGTCTCGAGGCAGCTGATCAGTTTGGAGTTAGTTAGTTCCAGGAGTTCCAGCAGTTGATTCGCAGTTGCAGTCAGGCCGTTGCCTCGCAGAAGCTGACCGAGAAATTCCACGTCCTTCCGACTTAGCCTTCCTACTAAAAGCAAGTTATATTGACGAACGACTTAAGATACCAAAACTCGCTTAAGAAACGCAAGTGTCACGAATCCATAGAAACGGGCTGGGAGAGAAACACACTCCTGTATTCAACAGACGGATAAAGATAATTTGTTATTTCTCAACATATTTGAACTTCTTGAGTTTTGTTTTATTGTTTCTTTTACTTACGCTTGTGAGATATCACCTTTACCCCGGATTCAGCTTGCACTACGGCCCGACGCCTGATTGATTTCGTCTACCTAAGATCAAAGTCACAACGTGGGTAGATTAGACTTGAGTAGCTAATTCGGTAACCAGACGTTGGAAGTGAGCTGGGAACGACAAAGTTGGTATCGAACCGGGAACGACCAGATCGACCGGGACACAGGCTGGTGGCAGCGAAAAATAGTCAACCCCAAAACGCTGGTGGAAGAAACCTTACAGCTTCGCGCCGCAACTGGGAGTTGACCACGAGCCGACAGCGCAGTGTCACATATTGGCGTCGCGACCAGAGGACGTCACATATTGGCGCTGCGACCGCGACCACCGGTGGGTGTAACAGCGACGCTGAGATCCAAAGATACATTGGGATGGCCCAAGACGCATTCCAAAAGCTAGGCAGAGTATTACGAGACAGGAGGATTTCGTTGGTAACAAAGAAAAGAGTATTGAAATGTTACGTGATATCTGTCCTCCACTACGACAACGAATTTTGGACGGTCTCCTCAAAAATGAAGAAGAGACTTGAGGCAACGGAGCTATGCTTCTACAGAAGCTGGCTAAGGATACCATGGACCGAGCGTGGGAGCAACGATGAGGTTTTGGAAAAACAAACAAGGAAGAAGCTTATGCTTAACATCAGGAAGAGGCAGCTGACATTTATGGGACACGTAACGAGAAAGGAGGGCTTGGAGAATCTGATACTCACTGGGTGGACAGAGGGAAAAAGAGACAAGGGAAAGCAACGCGTGACATACCTAGCGGGCTTAAGCAAGTGGATAGCAGAACAGAGTTTTGGAGAAGTAGCAAAAGGACAAAATATATTGATAACTACAAGGGATAGGAGGAAGTGGAGAGCCATGATCGCCTACGCCCTGTAGGGATACAGCATATAAAAGGAAAACAAAACAACGCTGGAAATTATTTTTTTTAAAAATTATTGAACTTTGAAGACGTTCGTTGAAGATCCTGGACTATTCCAATGCAGTTTTTATAATGGCAAGTACAGGGCTTTATCTCGATGCTTTGTGTTCGGTGCCAAAAATTATAAAAAAAAAAAACATCAGTTTTCGTCAAGCTATGAAATCTTTAGGTATAATGGCAACAAGGAAGTGTAAAAAAAAATCACAAAATATCAGATGTTAGATCAAGTGGGAAAAAAACCTTGTTGATTTTCTTCTGAAATCGAATATTTCTTTCTGGTGTCCTCTCTTCAATTTAGGTATCGATTTCTGAAGTTTTCTCAAGTCGTATTAGTATGTGCAGGTAGTATAGCGGTTATCAACGCGGAAAGTGAATTTGGTAAGTCGGGTTCAAATTTCCGTTTATATTCACTTTAACATAAATGCCCTTGGGACAGGCCTGAATCAATCCCTTTTCCCTACGCTCATCTATCGGTTAAATAGCAGAATAGACTGGGCTATTTCACCCTTGGCCAACTACCCGTTTAGCAGAAAGATTGTTCTGAATTCAAAAACCAAGGAAACGCCAACAGGAGACCACTCCATTATTTTTCCCAACATTGTCACGTTCACAGCTATTAAATCTGTGGAGAGCCATAACCGCCTACACCCTGAAAGGACAGAGGACTAAAAAAAAAACTGTGTATAAATAACTTATAGTTAATTGTTTTAGTCGGCTTAGGCCTGTTTCAGATTTGATTTTTCCATTGACACAGCTATTATTTTAACTACCTTCACTCCCTCGGCAATGTTTGTTTTAAAAAAACGATTATTAGAATTGTAATAAAACCTAAACATATGAAGAAAGTGAAGTAGTACTCCAACAGTCTCTTCATAAGTAGAACAGTCAATAATAATTTCATGTATCGTGTGAGATACATAATTCGTCAGGAATCAGACCTTGTTAATTGGCCGGTTTGGGTTTGTTTAATGTTTGCAAATAGTTTTCAAACGACACTTGTCAATGAATCCAGCGTTTTTCAGAATATAGAGTATCCGGTTCTACGTCAAATCACTGTGGGTGCATTAGTTGTTTGGTGCTGATTCCAAGCAGAATAAATTGAAATAACAAAGGATAACAAGAGTAGGCTTAAGGAAGCTTTATTCTATTTAGAATAATTGATACCAGCGTAGTGACTATTTATAGTCTTCTACAAACGAAAGTCTTCTCCAAAGGGAGGTAATCATAAAACAAGGAAAATTACTCCCGATTACTTTATCACGCTGCTGTTGAAAGTCCTCAAGT